TTTTACAAAACTGATCCCATATTTTGAGAGCGCTTGGAATTCTCTACAATTCTGTACATTTATATTTTGTCTTGCATTTATTTGCTGAAAGACAAATTGAGTGCCATGACGGCCCCCACGTTGTCAAATTCCCATGGACTGCATTTTGTTACTATTTCTTCAACTTGCATTTTAAATTTATCATCACTATAGGAATTGCTTTTTATAAAAGTAATTATATATTCTGATAGTGCCTAAAATTCTCTATCATCCTACATATTTATGTCTTGTCTTACATTAATTTGCTGAAAAATAATTTGAGTACAGCGAAGGTACCTCACAAGTACCAAAAAGACGCATTTTTTCGCTACTTTTTTATTTTTTTTTGCACACCATCTGTTCTAAAAGATTTGCTACTATTTCAGTAAAAAAAGGGTTGCAAAAGTGAGAAGTCAGTTCTTTTTGTACTTCTGAATGTGCTCCTTCTCATGGTCTGTAAAAAAAGTTTTTTAGAACAGTTGGTGTGGAAAAAACTTAAAAAGTACCGAAAAAATGCGTCTTTTTGGTACTTGTGAGGTACATAAAATATACAGAATTGTAGAGAATTTCAAGCGCTATTCAGAATATGGGATCAGTTTTGTAAAAGTATGTTTTCGTAAGAAAAATATCTTAATAATACTGTGTGCAACTATTTTTTTCCACGAGGATATAGCTTGACAAACAGTTGATTTACAAATGTTATATATGTGAGAAAACTATATGAATAAGACATTCTCTTTTCTTTCATCCCATATATAACATATGTAAATCAGTTGTTTGTCCATCTACATACATATAATGTTTTTTTTCTTTTCTTTGTTTTTTTTAATGTTTTTTTTCTTCAAAATACTATTTATTTAGGGAAACATGTCGACAATATTTTTAACGTTTTTATTTTTCTTATTCTTTAATTAAACAAATAAACATTTCATAATACAAACTGCTGTTAAACAAATTTTTCGAGAACTTATTGAAGAAATTTTGATTGTCGATAATAAACTTTTAAAGTACAAAACGGAAGACACACGAATAAATAAGAAATTTCCTACAATCGTTATTTTTAGTATGCTGTGTTCGAAATGCATTTGAATTTATCTTGAACATATTCAGTCATTAATGACTATCTGTTCTTAAAAACAAATTAATGAGACTTCTCGACTCTTCTAGAAGCTATATATGTTGAAAAAAAAGTATTAAGACCACATTTCCAACAATAAAGTATCAAGATGACATTATATTTATTAAAATAACATCAGATTGATATCCAGCTAAACAAACTCTGATTAGTCAAACTCAAACTAATAACAAAAATGACTCCTCGCTGACGAAGTATTAACATCTTAAAATGTTCAAATGAAATGAATTTAGACAGGATTTTCTGTGTTTTGTCATTAAAGATACCAGTTTTTCTTTGGATATCATGTTCTCCTCTCTAAAAATTAACAGTTTTATGTTATCTTGGATAAAGAGATTTACATTTTCTTTTGATTCACTATACCTAACATTACACAAACTGTATAAAGCATTTTTAAGTAAAATAATAAGGTGTAGAATACCAGTGAATGAAATTTGCATATTATTCTTCTAATTTTCTGATTACCGTCTCCAACAATCATTTGGGAACAATGCTTGCCACAAGAAGCAAAAAAGTTGTGTTGAGACCAAAATTGTACGAATAATATATGAATAATACGTTGATATCGATAAAAAATGTATCAATAATTTTGCCTAAACAATTATAAGGAAAATCAACATTTGAATAACCCATGAAAAACAAAAGGTGAATAAGAGCAAAAGAGAGAATACTTCGAATGAATAAATTTCGACCCACCTTTCGATCATCATTGACAAATAAACGGTACTTGAAGTTGTAAACATCAGCAAAAGCATAGATAGTTACAGCACCAATAGCAAACAAAATAAGATAATCTTTTAGTAAAGATATTTCGAATGCATATTGTCCGCCAAAATACATATATTTTGATCCGATAACGTGTGAGAAACGACGCTCTTTCATTCAATTGGTTTGAACAATATAGGATGGAAAATAAATAACTGGATTGGCATTGGAAAATTTAGTATGATCATGCTTGCACGTATAAAAATAGACAACAGCATTAACGATTTCACCACTAGAAAAAAAAATTAAAAGATGCTTATATCGCACTCGAGATAAATCTCATGTATTTTGCTCGAAGAAATTTTTTTCCTATTTTTTCATTTTTATAAGGATATTTTCTGTATTTGCATCTAATATTCAAAATACAATTAATATAGGGAAAATAAGACCCTGTCTATAAGTTCAATATACTAGAAAGTATATTAGTAAGAACTTGTTAATACCTTTTTTGAGACAAAATTTTGAAGAATCAAGCAAAAATAACAAGATCTTAGTTTGACTTCAATAGTACTATATTCTAGAATTTTATTTCTTAAAGATATTTTCATTTGTTTTCGCACTGATAATAAACAAGATATTTTGCGACAGACAATTCTTTTTGTTAGACACACATTAATAATCTCATAACGAATACACTAGTCTTTCATAGTTGTCTTTGATCATTTGATTCTCAAGTTTCGAACGTACAAATATATTTTTATCTTTTTTAAATTCCTAGTATTTTCAAATTAAATCAATCACATAAAGCTCCAACAAGAGACCTCAAATAATTTCTCAGTCAATTGACAGGACTTTATCTGAAACATATGTCGGAGTTCAGATTAAAATCCAGTTAAGTTTAAAGCTGAACTAGTTCAAATCGAAATTTTAATAAAAACTAGGTGAAATCAAAATTTAAATGTAAAATAGTTCGTTTGAAAAGCAGTTTCAAAATGAACTAGTACATTTTAGAATTTCAATTTCACCTAGGTCTAATCAAAATTTAGATCTGAACTGATACAGCAGACTAGGTGGATTTGAAACTCAACTGGATCAATAATGCATTTCAAAACGAACTATTGTCGGTTCCAGAAGTCAAGGCAGGTGGATGTCTTTTGAATAACTTTTGATAGGAACAAGATAGAGACTTGCGGTTTTCATTTTTAAAAACTAGATATCTGACCACATATTCCTGTGAGCAAGAGCGAATTTCGGAAAAACTTCTGAAGCGAGTTTTTCAGAAAATGTTTGGAAAACTAGCTTGGATTTGCCGAAATTCACATAGGGATGTATTGACTTTTTTTCATGGACTGATAGCCCGGGATACTCTCTTCAAAATGGAAGTAAAATGAGACCTTGATTTTCTTGGATTCAGGCCTTGTATCGGATTTCCGACGAGTCTCAGGACTGGCACCAGGTGACTCTTGGTAGCCTTAAAAACTGATGGAATATGGGTAATCGACCATGCTGAGTCTCGTGGCAATATTTGTTTTTAGAAAAAGTTTTAAAAATCTACCGCAAAGCCAGTTTTACGAAAACTAGGGTTTTCAGGCTGTTTTCATCTAATATTAAAAAATTCACTATTCACTCAAAAAACATCAGAACAAGCTTAAAACTTCAGAATGTAGAGTATTTAAGCTATTCTATATCTTGTTTATAGGAGATCTCGAAATAAATTGTAAAAACACCCTGAGGTTTTCGAAAAAGGGTTTCTGGGAAACTTATTACCAAAAATACAAAAAGAACTAAGTTTTCACTGTTGCTACACTCTTTTAATGATAATAATAGCGGAAGAAAAAGATCAACTCAAAAAAATACCAAATATACAAAGTTTTCATTTTTGTCGCCAGTTGTATAATTTACGTAGTTTTCTTGACTGAAGTTCTGAAATTAAAGTTTAAATATGGTTTTGTAGAATATTCCGTGGCGCATTTTTTAAAAAAACACTAACCGTGTGATCCTAAAGAAACGCGAGAAAAACAGAAAATACTGAGAGATTCGCTCGTTATGACGCACTCGATATAAACTTCCATAATTCTAGAGCCAATAACTATCGTACAAAATATCAACTATACTCATCAATCCCATTTTAGATGAGCATTAATTTGGTGTATGATACATTTTTATATCATTTGTAGTTTCAGCTCTGCCCTTTCTGGAAAAATATTTTTACGCACCCTGTATACAGTAGTCTACCTCAATTCAAAAAACACGATTCATTTCGCAGGTATTCTCATCAATGTTAGAACACAAATCACGTTCTTTATATCAAGTGAAAAGTTCAAATAAGAAGATCTTAGTATCATATTTATGAGACTGAAGTGACTATGTTTTTCTGAGCTTCGACAAATGTGAATGACGTTCTGCATAGGCATGCATCAATGCCAATCATTATTGAAGAGATTGTACAATACTATTGGGTATTCAATAATATTCGGGTCCAGTATTATTGTATATCAGATATATTGAGACCAAAAAAATTGAGACCAATAATATTGGTGACCCAATCTATTGGATTTTTACAATACTATTAAGTATTGGATCGTTTGAGTTAAGCCTATTTTTATGAATAGAGATATTAATGTTAAAAGGTCGGGTACGAAGAATGCTAATGCAAAACATTGCATAACTTGGTGGTGGTCGGGTACATTACCTCATTACATCCGAAGTCCGCTTTCTTCCAGTACATCGATATGAATGTCCAACAAGAATGATTCACGTTTTTATTTACTTTAGTAATACGCATATTCAGTACACACTATAGTCTAAATTACTTTTATTTTCTATAAAATATTTACACAAACACCAGTTCTGTTTGACGTCAATGCAACAAAATGAAGGAAGTAGACATATTTTTTTCCAATATTCAAATGACACACAATGACAGTGAAGGAATTGAAATGCATAAATTCTTCTCTTATTTTCCAACATCTTGATTATTATTATTATTATCATGATAATTTATAAGCAAAACATAAAAATAAACAGCAAAGTCGTTTAACATTAATTGTTTCTTGATACTGGATGAAGTCATAGTACATAAAAGTTGAATTCTGTTTTATAATATGTTTATCAAATTATTGCTAATTCAAAATAATTTTAAATGACATCAACGTTACTAGAACAATCAACTAATAACGAATCAACTTCTAATAAACTCTACGATTTATGTAGAGGAAATCAAATTAAAAAAGTTCAAATTTTATTAACAACAATTGTTGATATCCATATTGTGAATACAATTAAACATCCATCTGGTTCAACAAGTTTACATGTTGCAAGTTATTATGGCCATAAAGAATTAGTGCAAGTTTTATTAGATTTTGGTGCATTGCCTTCGATTAGAAATTTGCGACATAATTTAACACCATATGAAGAAGCATACACCGATGATATCAAACAATTATTTATTAATAACCGAATATTTTATTCTGAAATGGATTATGATCATATTCAATGGTCAATAACTGGTCATGATTTAATTGAAAAACGACGAGAATTTCGAGAAATTATTCATTTATATAGATCGTATGATAATCATCATCCGATAGTATCGAAATTATTAGCTGAAGTCATACACTATTATTTAAATGAATATTTAAAGAAAATTTCTCCTACCGGTAACCCTCAAGATCGGATTACTGAAGAACAAATTAAAGTTATCGAAGATTATTTTCGTAAAGCTATAGACGAAAAAGACTATTTAACGTATTTCATTAAGAAATTGTTCGTTATGGATGGTCGTAGAAAACCGTTAGATTTTTAATCACCGAACCACCTGTAGAAAAAAATGTATCAGCGTAACTCTCCGTTGTTGTAAACAACTGAATCTCCCCATTCCGATTGATGAACTAAATTTACTTCTTTACAAAATGAAATATCGTCCATGTTAAGTAAGTAAATTATTTAGTTCTACATGCAGGAGAGGATCTGTGACGTCAAATGTATACGTATATAAAAGGATGATAGGGCTAAAACACAACAGAAATACTATTTCCATCGTGCCACTATTTCTGAAATAGTGGCTTCTACCTTTGAAGTATATTTCAAACGTGTTAATTTTAACAGTTTACGTTGAAGTTTCTGAAGCATATTAATAAAAAATGTTAAGAAAATTTTCAAAAAAACAAAGACCAAAATCGATACTTTTCTCGGAAAGGCTATTACCACCTCTAGAGGTGGCATTAAGAAGCTATTACTATCTTCAGAAGGTGTCAGTAACGGCTATTTTCACCATTAGAAGGCGAGATTGACAGCTATTGCCACTTTCAAGCATAGCAGTAAACTAGAAGGTGACAATAGCTGTTATTGACACCTTCTGACAGTTGCAATAGCTCCTTGTTGACACCTTGGGATATGCCAATACCGCTACACATTTTGTTTTTAAAAATAGCATCTGATGGCTACAATCAAAAGAGGAAACGGTCATGTGCTGAATGTTCAACTTTCGCTCTATTACCGTGTATTCAAGTCTGCTTTGGTGGGATTCTTATCAGTGCCTCTTAACCCCGATGCGAACGTTCTTTATGGATGATAGCTAAAGCGTATACAGATTATTTTCATAGAGTATTAAATAAAGATTTAGCATTATATATTCTACAATATTTTGATCAGACAAGAAATTTTTCTTCAAATTATCGTCTAGTTAATTGTCTCGTTCATATTGTGACACTGTTAATTCATCATCCAGATATTTCTAAATATCAGTACAAAGGCACATGTTATCGTGGGATGAGAATAACAGAAAATGATCTAAATCCGTATCAATTAAACCAACATATATTAAATTGGTCGTTTTTATCTACATCAATTGAACATAAAGTGGCCAAAATGTTTGCTGGTGAAGGTCAACAATCTTAAATGAGACGAACAGTTGATCGACGTCCTCTTCAATTTTCATGTTTATGCCGATATGAAATAAAGCAAAATGCAACAGACATAGACCTACAAGAACTTTCAAGTAAACCAGATGAAAAAGAAATTCTCATTCTACCATTTGCTGTATTTAAAGTCGTCAACATCAAGAAAAATTATATTGATCACCCACAAACATCAATTTCAATCGAGATTGACTTAGAAGAATGTGAAGATTCAGGTAACAACTGTACATAAAGAATTTGAAAATATCTTAGAAAAACCTGAGTGTATCCACGCAGGTCTCCACGTTTTACATCGACTTCGAGCCGCCGAATTTCCATTATGCTAGGTTTGTAGCCCGTGTCGAGTTGTGTACGAATCTATATTTGTTTCCTCTACAAGTCATGTACCACGCGCATGGTGATGACCCAATTCTCATAAATCCCCCGAGAGATCACCCTTTTTTGTCTGAAGTAATTGTTTTGAAAAAAATCTGATTTCAACGTTCCATAGATCTCAAAGACATTGTGCATAAAAAGGTAATTTTCGTGGTTCAAACTCTAAAAATAGCTCAGAAAATCTTGACCAAATCAATTGAAAATCACCATATTTTAAACTACTAAATAAATAGTCAGGAAACTATGGAACATACACGTAACAGATGTTTCAGTCTCTTTTTGTAAACACCAGCAACGTACAGTAAGCAAGTAAGTCCTCTTTCTAATGAGACGTCTCCCAGGTTCATCCGTTTCTGACTATAGAGGAACATCTCCGACTAACAAAAGTGAAATATCGCCGTGAATAATCAAGAAGCTGGGAGACGTCTCATTAGCAAGAGGATTACGATGCAGCTCAGATATAGTGAAAAAATAGATTTTGTTGATTTATACACCATTCGATAGAGAATCGGACGGCACTCACGAATAGCACCATCCCGGTTCCCAAAACCCTTTCCTCACCGAGATAATTCCAAAATAAGGAGCAATGGTCAAAAACCGGGAAAATACCCGTTTTGCGAAAAATACCCATAACCCCGCCGAGAAAGATCGTAGAGATTTGCGGTTTCGATATTCAGATTCAGCATCAAAAACTGAAACTAGTCATGTAGTCT